ATAGATAGATAGATAGATAGATAGATAGATAGATAGATAGATAGATAGATAGATAAATAGATAGATAGATAGATAGATAGATAGATAAGAGAGATATATTATGAATGATATTATGTGCGCGTGTGTATATACATATCTCTGAAATAATCCATTTACTAATTTTCCAGCTATCCTTCTACCGATACTGAAGATACTGACGTGCTTTCAAGAGTACATATTCGGAAAGAGGGGGGGGGGGGCGAGATAATCAAAGGAGCTTCTCTGTTCAACAGAAGTGGCGGAGATAAGGAAAATTATTTTGAAACGTATAAAACGCTCGTAAACACCTGAAGCAAAAGATGAGATCTTTGAGCTAAATAGTCTATTATGTTTATCCAATGTTTAGCAACTATAAAGGCTAGAACAACAACACAACTTCAAGTCCTATCAGATGTTGTGGGTAAAGACGACATCCTTGGATTCTTTGAAAGAACTGGGAGAAATGCAATTTTGACTAGTTATTTTTGGAGACGCTTTTTCCACTCAGCTTTAGAGAATATTCGTTAAGCCTGTCTGCTTGTGGCTGCTGTTTCTACACCTTTTCAATATAATTGTATTTTTCTGCTTATCTCTTTCTATCGAAATGTGGTCTTTATCGTCAGCTAGGCAATGCCTCAACAGCTGCTAATACAAGTCCTCGTGATTGTCCCCCACGTCGTGTAAAGTACATGTACAAGCAGTTCGAAAATGTCAGATCAGAATCTTAATGTTTTGATAAACCCCGAAACAAAATCTGTACTCAATAGAAATTAGCTCAAGTATTCTGTTACAAACCAGTCTCACAGATTATGGTGTAATACGTCATAATGGCCTAGATTTTTATTGATATCCTGCTCCTGTCTAATTTAACCTCTTTCTCTTACGATGTTCCTGAACGTCTGGCTCTGTTAAAATGATTGGCATGATTAGATGTACAATTCTTTCTCTTCTTTGTTTGTTGCGTTCTGGGTGCTTGTGGTCGAGTTGAATTGTTTTTTTAATGCCATGATGTGAGTTCAGTTTAATAACAGACACATTTAGGTAAAAAAAAAACTGACTAGAATAATGGCAAGAAAAACTTCTTTAAAAAAGAAACCAGAGGCAGCTGACCATGGGACCAACAAACTTCTTTTCTTTTAAAATAATAAAAGTTTACATTAGTTACCATCCAGTCTGTACAACACGTGAGCTTGAAACGAATGCTTGCGAGGACCTAGTTGGAAAGGGGGAGATAATAGGGCCTTAAGCTGAATCAGATTTCTTCAATAATTTGAAGCTTTAGTTTTGTACTTATTTATAGCTTTGTGTCTGCCTGGGAACGTCACTTGTTTCTTTGCATCCTAATTTACCATTTCAGACCCACAGTGTACAGCATGGCAGGCTGTTAGGGGCATATCGCTGTTGTTCACATACTCAGACTTTTCTATCTGCAAGCGTTCAAGTACACATGAGTCAACTAGAAAAGGAAAGGGGTGGAGGGGTAGGGAAACAAGCTTCTTTTCTAAGAAACAACTTATGATCCGAAAATCAAACTCTCAGAACGTTTTTTAATGGCTAGAACAATCAATGTCTATCTGCTAAAAAATGACATAAAGCAGAATTCTCAATAACGTATACAGAACTACCGACATGTTTACTTCCTTGTGCTGTTAGTGTTCACGACGACCAGTTGCCTCGTGTGCCTTATGTCTATCATGTATATCTTCGCGTTCTATCGTTAGACAACAGGAGAACAAGGAAAAGAAAGCACCACATTAGCTTAGAAGAGAACATGTGTTACTGCATTTCTAATGGTAAGAGGCTGTATCTCCCGAAGGGCCGTTTGTTTCTTCATACCCCTGAACTCATAGGGTTGGGTGTGGGAGGATGTGGGGGGGGGGAGGACACGAAAGTTTGAGATTGGCACTGTTGGGGAGAGGGGGGGTGTCTGCATTGTCTTGTCTGTAGTGAAGTTCTTCTCAGCTCGTTTTCGTTTTTTGGCCAGTGAGATGCCTATGAAACTACACGTTTTTGTTGTAAGTCCAGTAAGGAGTTAAACGTTGTTAAAAATAGATTCCTAAGCTTCACTGGTGCCAGTATTTCAGTCCATTTTCTCACTAATGAATTTCTCTCTCCACAAATATGTGAAGCTCGCTACAGCGATTCTATATGCCTATTGATCGCTTGACCATCGTTCCTTTTAAGAAGGTTGCAACATTCCTCTCTTCGAAACAAAAACCTCTTTTGAACTTGGAGGTTAAAAACCGCGCTAGGCTATGTGGACACACAACGCTATGTTGTTGAAAGCGTATTATCGAATCAGGTTACTCTGAGTTTGAAGGTTATGACTTACTAATCATTGCACGATAGATCTACTATGGAATTGACGATAGCTGTAATCATGCAGAATTCCGTCAGCCTTGAATGCACACTATGGCAGTTTTGATACGACCAGGCTTTGGCAAGCTAAGGCTTAATGTGCATTTGGGAAGGCAAAGATTAAGGATTTAACTTGTGTAACGACGATGCTTTTCCCAAAACCAGCTCCAAAGAGTCATCTCGTAGTTATAGCAAAATTTAATCACTGTTCTGTCTTTCTTGATGATGGGTTTTGTGCGGTCTTTGTGTACAATGAGCGTCCTGCGATGATGGTGCAAGTGGATTTCCATTTTTTTCATTGCTCCATTGTTTCATGAAGCAGCATACTTGCATTCCGGACACGTCCATTGATGCTCCGTTGATCTCTCCAAAATAGTGCTAGTGAAAGATTAAGTCAATAAATGCCAGAAAATATCGGTTGCTTTGAATGTAAAACTAATCGAGATGTATTAGTGTAAGGCATAATGTGTTTCGTCGTCTGCTGCATATTATGTATTCATAGCTATCTGTTCTTTCATGTAGCCATTTGATAACCTATAACTAGGACTTTTGTATACGTATTCACAGTTGGTAATACAGTGTTTCCAAAAACCCGGAAACAAGACCGACAAACTTTCCAGGCTGCTTGGTTATCTATATATTTCATATCTCGAAATAGTGAATAGTTACTGAATACTCGAAAATGCATGCGTTTATTCTTAGTTGTGAGATCCCTGAAACGTTCGAGGTGTTTGGTGTTCCAGAAATCAATATTGCCTAGTTAGCTGGAGGCTGTACAGCCGAGCGGAGAACAGAGCTTGACCCAGCGGTTTATGTTTCACAAGCCGTAACATGTTACACACTGTGTTTAGCGTCTTAGGTCAGGAAACCCCACCTTTTTAGCAACCTTTTTTTACTTATGAAATGCAGCAGTAACCTCTACATTATAGTTTCCCTTTGTTTAAAGCCACGCACCGATACGACAGATAGTATGAAATATGTACACTTTTCTTCAGAAGAAAACAAAGTAATGTAGATTTGTTTTCGAGCTCTTAACCTCTCCACTGCTGAACAAAAACACTTGTCATCAGAACTAAGTATCCTCCGTGATGATTGAGGGGGAGGGAGGAGGAAGTTGTACCTGCGTAGTCAACTCTCAGTTACTAAAGAGCAGATGTCTGTCAAAAAAAATTTAATCGCTCTTCCTAATAGGTATATCTTGTGGTGTTATTAAGTGTTTACGGTTCAACATTGAAAGAGATTCTATGGCTTATGTGCTAAGTTAAATAAGCCATCATGATGTCTGGTTCACATAGTAGAGTTAAAAGTTAAAAGTATACAGTGTGAGTTGACAGATGTTTTGTCATTTGGTTTCACACACACACACACACACACACACACACACACACACACACACACACACACACACACACACATAC